AATAGCAACCAATGATTTTGAGCATCTCTTCATGTGTTTAGTGACCATTTCTGTATCATCTGTGGTAAAATGTCTAAGACCTCTATCCAGTTTTTGATTGAGTCATTTGTCTTCCTTTTATTGCTGAGTTGTGTTATAATCTTTTGGATCACAGTCGTTCATCCTAGTGGGTATGAACTGGTACCATTGTGATTTCCATTTGTATGTTCCAAATGACAATGACATGGAACATAATTGCCACTCGTTTATTGGCTTTTTGTATCTATATGTGGTTTTTTGTCTTAACAGAAATGTGAAGTCAGACCCTTTGCCCATTTCAAAATTTGATGATTTATCTTTTTGTATTGAGTTGTAAGAGGGTTTTTTATATATTCTAATTACAAGTCCCTTGTCATATTATTTGGAAATGCTTTCTCCCATTCTGTATGTTCTTTTAACTTTATTGATGGTTATAACTATATATTTTATACCATTCAGGCCATTACATCTTCCAAAAAGCCTTCCTACAGTCTGGATCTGTTCCTTCTCCGTTTCTCATAGCTTCCTGGCACAGCCATTTCTCGTAGTGCTAAGCACACTATGTATTGAAATGATCAGTTTAGGATTTTGTTTTCCCTGTCATAAGGAGGAAGGGTCTCTGGTAGTGTAATGGTTACGAGTTGGCCTGCTAACCTACCAGCCGTCCCACAGGAGAAAGATGCAGTTTTCTGCACCTGGAAAGATTTATAGCTTTGGAAACCCTGTACAGGGTCACTGTGAGTCATGGCACACAACCACCACCACCATAAGGAGGTCTCCTGGTGTGGCATTGTATGATCAACACTAGACTGCAAACCACAAGGTTGGCAGTTCAAACCTACCAGCTGCTTCTCAGAAACCCTCTACAGGGTCCCTGTGAGTCAGAACTGACTCCATGGCACTGAACAACAACAAATCATAAGGAACTGTGTCTTACAAAGCTCTTTATTTCCAGTCTAGGTCTCTACCTAAGTTAAAATAGGAGTTCAGCAAAATTGTTGCTTATTCACCTAAACCAAAATAGAAAAGATCCAAGTCATTGCTAACCCAAGAAAACTAATAGGAAGAGTCTCAAAAGCTGTCCTTAAGGAATTGGAGGATAGGAGGAAAACCGTAGTTCCTTCTACAGACAGAAGTAAGGCACACAGATGGGATGCTTTTCTTCTCCCGTCCCTAACGATTCTGAGGTACCAGGGATGGCGGTGGTACTTCCGCTGCAGCCCCCATGGCCCCAGGGTTCATACGGTGAGGCCAGGTCAACCACTGGCCTTGTAGTTCTGTTCTGAGCAGCAGGCAGAAATTTATATGACTGAGCATTTATTTTTCTCAGATATCCATTTATTTAGAAATTGCCTAAATTCTTCAGTGTCTGATAAGGTTAGCTCTCCTAGAGAGGTCGTATTAATCATAGAGATGTGTCAAGTGTGAGGGGACCTGTGTGGTGCTGCCTTGTGAGTGTGGTGTGGTGTGGTGTGGTGTAGTATGAGGAATCTGTCTTAGTTTTCCGTGCTAGTATAATGCAAACACCACAGCAGGATAGCTTTAAAAACAGAAGTTTATTTTCTCACAGTTCTGGAGGCTAAAAGTCCAAATCAGGGTCTTAGTCTTGTCAGTTCTTTCCAAGTTACAAGTCTCTTGGCTTGTCATCTGTCTTCTCCTCTTGTTTGTTTATAATTCAGAAGTGTTTAGGTTTAGGATTCGCTCTATACTCTGATATGATCTCAACTGATTGATTACACTATATTAGGATAAACATTGGACTGCTAACTGCAGGTCCGAGGTTCAAACCCACCAGTCCCTCCTTGGAAGCACTATACAGTGTTGTTGGAACAACAACAAAGTTACAGTACGGAAGGTAATCTGCTCTGCCCAAGGCTAACTGATTTAATCACATGGAACATATAACTATGTCATCAGTTAGATTGGTATTGGTCAAACCACTGGGAAGCATAACCTAGCCAAGTTGGCACATAAAATTAGCCATTACAGAATTCAAATGTTTTCCCTTTCTACCAAAATAATTTTATTGTAATACTTGTCTGTTGATTCATCTTTGTTTTTTGTTTTTTGTTTTCATTTGTCTTATGTGTCTGTAAATTAAAGAGCTAGTTGGACTGATAATCCTCCTCCATGTGTTTTGGGAGCATATTTTATTTTCTCATTACTGTGATGCCGCAGATTCTTCCGGTCCACATATTCACTATTGTTGCAAATGCTGGAATGGCCCCATTTCGATTGGAAAAGTACAGATAACATGAAGAAGCAATTATCCCCCACAAAATGAGGGTGAGGTTTTAATACTTCAAATAGAACCCTCCTCCTCAAAACTCCTTAGTTTTTGGCTTGAAGCTTGGTTGAAACAAACGAGAACATTTATGAATAAGATCTCAAAAGGAAGCCCATATAATTTTTGTGGAGTTCTGATGCAATCTGTAGGTGAAAAAAATGCTGTCTACTTGCAGTCACTTTTCTTTCTCATATGGTTATGAGGCTGCTTCACTGCCTCCCCCCACCCCCCTGGTAAAAGAGAAAGCTACTTGACAGTCTAAGACAATTGATTTATTTTCTATTCGCACAGCAAGATGTGCTAGAATTACCTCATCTTAACAGGCTTACTGGGATTCTTGAATGAGAAATACCCTCACCCTTGATTTTTTTTCTTATGAAACAAAAACAGCTCCACATTTATGGGAGAAAGAGTTTGGCAGAGAAGCTGATTATAATATCGTATTGAACAGCACTTTGAGTGTCTAAAACCCAGAAGCTGTTCATGGGAGTTAAAAGTCTATGATCATGTGTACCGCACGTATATGACCTCATGGATACAGAACTGGCTTTATTAAGTATTGTATTGCCTTTGCCAGATGCAGGCTTTGACACACTGTTGTCACTCCCCGTGACTCGGCAACCCCAGGCACAGCAGAATGAAATTCTGGCTTTGGAAGTAGAACACCACCAGGCCTCTCTGCCTAATCTAGGGTAGCCTGGATACACAGCTGAAACCTGTTCGGCATCATAGCAACACTCAAGCCACTGCTGATGACTGGCGGTGGCCACGTTTGAGGTGTACTAGTCAGGAATTGAACCTGGGTCTCCTATATGCCAGGGGAGAACTCTTTCACTGAACCACCACAACCCACATTGGCACACTATGCTGTTGTTGTTGTTGTTGTTGTTAAGTACCATCAGGTCAGTTCCAATTCATAGCAACCTTGTATAGGGTTTCTGAGGAGTGGCTGGTGGGTGGGTTTGAACTGCGGACCTTGCTGTTAGCAGTCCAGTGCTTATGCTATTGTGTTACTCCACTGTTGTTTTTAAGTACCGTTGAGACAGTTCTGACGCATAGCAACCCTGTTTAGGGTTTCCGAGGAGATGCTAGTGGATTTGAACCACTGACCTTGAGGCTCAAACAGATCTTGCGTCCCATTGCATTATCCTGCAGCGCCGCACCTGGACCCCTTTGGTGCTACTCCATATTGTTGCTTAAAAGTGTTGTATGGATGGGAGGAAGGCAGGAAGCATTTTATTGGTTGGACTGATAGACTTGGATAGAGACTCAGAGTGTGCCACTTTCTAGCAGGAATCCTGAAAGTAATCTCTTTACACACCTCAGTAATACCTTCTTTGTAAAATGGGGACAATACTGGTATCTACCTCAGTAGACAGAGAAGTAAGTCATGGATTATTACTATTGTTAAATGCCGTGGAGTCAGTTCTGACTCATACTAACCCTGCATAGATTTTCTGAGGCTATGAATTTCTGCAGGAGCCGAAAGCCTCCTCTTTCTCTCGAGGAGCAGCTGGTGGGCTTGAACCACTGGCCCTGTGGTCACAGCCAAGTGTTTATCCAACTAAGCTACCTACCACACTTCTTAAGTAAATCAGGAAACTGTCTTGACTCGCACTTTAGGTCTAAACCATGCTGCTCTTAATGAACATGTCTAAACAAGTTCAATCCTCTATTGAAGACGAATATTGGGAAGATACTGGAAAAGTATTATGTGGATATTGAATTAAATGCAGACCTCACTTTAGGGACTATACACACACATTGGGTAAGATGAAATAAAGAAGTTTTCTTGCCTTTGGAGATTAGCCCTGACTCTAGAACAAAAACAAGTTGGTAGTTAATAGTTACTGTATCTCATTTTCCAAAACACATGTTTCATTGTTAAAGTCATTTACCAAATACTCTTGCATAACACATTTTTACTTTTGCACTTTTGGTAAATTACTAAGTGACTAACCTTCAGTATCCCAATGTGTTAAAAATCATCCAAGGATGCTCTCAGGATTATATGTGTCAATAAGGTTGTTAGTTTGAACAGTGTGGTAAGATATCAGGTGAAGAGGCCTTGATGCTGTGAACAGAGTAAAACAGGCATATTTTGTGATTTTCCTGTTATGAATGGATTACTTGGAAATAGAGGTTATTTTTAGGCAAGGTATCCCTATAAAACCTGAAGCTGTGTGGTTTACAAACTTATGTGCATAGAAAATTATGCACTAAGTAAAAATTTCCAGATGTCAGCTTCTGTATATGCCCACTGGCAAACTGTATCCTGGTTCAGAAGTCTGGAAGAAATGACACTCATTTCTGTGCCATCCAAACTCTAAAGATATAGTTAGGGTAAAATACTATTGGAGAAAACTTACAGTGTACTTCCGGCTACCCCAAGGTGTCACATGTTATAAAGTGTTAACCGAAAGACTTTAGTATTCCCCCTCATGACTTATATGTGTTTGTAGCATTGCAGATACAACCTATGTTTCTGTTCTAATTTATTGCATTTTCTCCTGAGACTTATCTCATTCTTTCAAAGGGTCAGCAGATATTTTAAAATCCAAGCTGGACACAGCACTCTAATAAAAGTCCAATACTGAGCTAAATTTACCAGGATTTATTGCTTTTATCATGCACATACCAGCACACCTCACTCATGTTTGTCAAATAACTTAACCGGATTCTCTTCTCTCCTTAGAAATTCGAGCTCAATTGGTAGAGCAACAAAAATGCCTGGAACAGCAAACGGAAATGCGAGTTCAACTTCTCCAGGACTTACAAGATTTTTTCCGAAAGAAAGCTGAAATTGAGACGGAATATTCTCGGAACCTAGAAAAGTTAGCGGAAAGGTTCATGGCCAAAACAAGAAGTACTAAGGATCATCAACAGTACAAGTAAGGAGACATGACTCAAATTCACTTTTTCCAAGGTGATATCCTACCTTCTTACCACTTACTGGTTTATATTTTCTCATGTGTCTCATAAGTTGGTAAGGAGCTCTGGTAGCAAAGTGGTTACAAATCGGGCTGTGAACCGCAAGGTCAGCAGTTCGAAACTACCAGCTGTTCTGCGGGAGAAAGATGAGGCTTTCTGGTCCCGTAAAGATTTACAGCCTCGGAAACCCTGTACAGGGTCGCTATGAGTCGGAACCGACTCGACGGCACATAACCACCACCAATAAGTTGGTATATCCCCGTGAATAAAAGCAAACCTCTGTACCATTATGAGCAGCAATTTATCATATTGTTGTAAAGCAGTATTCTCTTGACATTTTTCTCCTTTATATAATACATGTGTGTTGTTGTTAATGTTAAATGCATTCTGGTCAGTTCCGACTCATCATGTCCTTGTGTGGGGTTTCCAAAGCTGTAAATCTGTACAGGAGCAGAAAGTCTCATCTTTTTCCTTTCCTGCAGAGTTGATGGGTTTGAATCACCAACTGCTCCTATATATGTGTGAATGTGTGTGTGTGTGCATATATATATATATATGTGTGTGTGTGTGTACGTGTGAGTGTGATCTGCCGACCTTGTGATTAAAACTGAAATTGCAGTCCAGTGCTTACCCTACAGCATCACACCAAACTATATATAAATTGCTGTTACTGTTGTTCAGTGCCATCGAGTCAGTTCTGACTCATAGTGACCCTGTATAGGGTTTCTGAGGAGTGGTTGGTGAGCTTGAACCACAGACCTTGGGGTCCAACGTATTATCTCGCAGTGCCACACGTATATAGATAACTTTATATTGAAAGAAAATGGTGTCTGTAAAATTCTTGATTACAGACAACTGAACATTAGTATCTACCACAAAATGCTTGAAAGAACAAACTTAAAAGAGCTGCTTCTTCAAGGAAAGACCTCAGGGTTTCTGTCATAATTCTAAATGCAAATAAGGGTAGCTTAAGTATAGTACACCAGTTATCTTGTTTGTGGTCCTTGCAGTTGAGACTAACTTCAACAAAGGGTCACTGGTAGACTTCTCATAAGTGAGTATAATTAAACCGATCTTAGTTGCACTTAATCTTTTTAAAAAAATCATTCAAGTTTGCAAATAGATAAAGTTTTTTTTTATTAGAGATATCAGGGACTCGGAAGAGTAGAGAATGGGGAGTTATTGCTTAAAGGGTCCTGAGTTTCTGTTTGGGGTGATGAAAACATTTAGAAATAGAAGTTTGTGATATTTATACATGTGATGAATATAATTAAATTTAATCTCTGTACTTTAAAATGGCTAAAACGGCATTTTTAAATACCTTCATTGTGAACTGAATGGCGGCATACAGAGAGGACCATCAGTTTTACATTCAATAAATCACACACTTTGTTTCATCACAACGGTTGCAGTTCCCTCCATGCAACAACAGTTGTACCATTTCCTCCCTGTGGTTACTATTTCCATTCCATCCTCTATCCCATCCCTTCTTAACTTTCTCCTTACGTAAATGCTGCCCTTTGATCTTGCATAATTCCATGGTGAACATCCCTTACTAGTGTTGTTGTCCCCTCTGTATACCTATCTACTGCTTGGCTGAAAATTGAACCACAAAGGTGATTTCCATTCCAGACCTGAAAGGTGGTACCGAAGTCTCAGGTTCCTCTAGTCTCTTTCTGTCCAGTCAGCCTGGTCGTCATTTATAGTTTTGAGTTTTCTCCACTCTATCTGGGACCTTCTAATGTGATCTTTCAGAGCAGTTGGCAGTGGTATCTGGGCACCATATCGATCTTCTGGTCTCAGAGTCATGGTGACGGATGTTTATCTGCTCCATTGATCCAATGGACTAGTTGATTCCAAGCATCTTCAATTTTCATCACTCTCCTTTCTCCCACTCATGAACAGACTGAAGTTAATATCTAAAGTTGCACCTTAGATGGCCATTCATGAACTTTTATGACCCCTGACGCTGTTCCTCAAAGTAGGATATAGTCTGTTACACCGATTGACCATGGTGTCCCCTGAGACTATGGTCCTGAGCCCAGGTGAAAGGACACTTTTGAATGTTTTGTGTATCTTACCACAATGAAATTGAAAACCAAATACAGATCTTGATAATTAAAGTTACTTTCATTTAAAGCATTGAGACAGAGGCAAACAGGCAGCTCCAATAGAGTGCTGAGTGCTTCAACACTGCTAGCACAGGAAGCCATGGACAGATCTGACTCACATCCATCCTGTGCGGGAAGAATTAGCTAGGCATGCAAGGTGAGCAGAGGAGGAAGTTTCAGGAAATGGGAACATTTTGGGTGAAGGATCAGAAGGAGAGGTGTGGGGCAGGTTTGAGGAACAAAATGTAGTCAAGTGGGAATGAAGAATGAGGTGGTGAACTGTGTGGCTAGAGGTCCAAGTCAGGTGAGATCATGGAGCTACAGATCTCACTAGGTAGTTTGGACTTTATCCTGAGAGAATGGGAAGGATTTAGAGGGTATTAAGTAGAGGGGTGACCCAATCAACCCTGAAATTTAAAATGGTAACTAAGATTATTAATACCACTGCTAATTTGTTGGTTTGTCATACTGTGGTGGGTTGTGTGTGTTACTGTGTTGCTGGAAGCTGTAATACCAGTGCATTTTCAAATACCAGCAGTGTCACCCATAGTGGAGAGGTTTTCCAAGGACCTTCTAGACTAAACTAGGAAGAAAGGCCTGGTGATATGCTTCTGGAAATTAGCCAGTGGATCACAGCAGAGCATTGCCCAGTAATGGAAAATGAGACCTGTCTGTTTATTCTGGGCACTAGGATGCAAGGGATGCAGAGTATCAAGTATTTACCTCCACTAATGGCTCAGTAGTTCCATTGTAATTGTGTGTGGCTTACTATCCTACATAGGATCCCCTAGGTTGGAAGGTGCTCACATTTTCCACTGGCTGCAACAATGGGTTTGGGTACCTGTGATTGTGAAGGTGGCATGCAGCACGGGACAGTGTTTTGTTCTGCTTGTCACCATGAGAGGGAGCTGACTCAGGGCTGCTAACAACAGCCACAAGAACATAAATAGACTCATGGACTGAAGGAAGGTAGAGTGGAGGGAGGGGAACCAGGTAGGAAGCTCTCATAGAAATCCAGGTAGGGAGGATGGCATGAACTGGCAACATGGGAGGTAAGGAGAAATAGACCCATTTAGGGGATATTTGAAAGGGCAGTACATGGGACCAGTAAGTAACATCATGACAAATAGAGAAATTTCTGAAATTGTCAAGGATTTTGTTTTACATGGATCCACAACCAATGACCATGGAAGCAGCAGTTAAGAAATCAAACACACACACCCCTCCCCCGGTGTGTGTGTGAATGCTGGACCGTGAATAAGGAGGACTGAAGAAGAATTAGCACACTAGAATGATGGTGGTGGTGAAGAATATTAAACACGCCACGAACTTCAGAAGAATGAACAAATCCATTTTGGAAGTACAGTCAGAATACTCCTTAGAAGCATGGATGCTGAGACTTTGTCTTATATACGTTGGGCATGTTATCAAGAGGAACCAGTCCATGGAAAGAGGACATCATGCTTGGTAAAGGATCCGTGAAAAAGAGGAAGACCCTCAGTGAGAAGAACTGACAAGATGTCCCTAACAGTTGGCACAAACATAGCAACAATTGTGAGGGTGGTAAAGGACTAAGACTAAGCAGTGTTTCTTTCTGTTGTGCATAGGGTCACCCTGAGCTGAAACTGACTAGAAAGAAGATGGAAGGAATACATACAGTCATTGTATCAATAAGAATTGGTTGATACTCAACCAGTTCAAGAGGTACCATATATGATAGAGGTTTTTTTTTTAAAAAAAGGCCGTACATGACACAGAACCAAACACCATAGGATGGTTAACTGACAGATGAAAAACATTAATGTTTTTAAAGGCAGTGAAGACCTTAGTTTCTGGAAATACAGTGGACTGCTGTTGTTGTTAGGTGTCATTGAGTCATTACCAACTCGTAGTGACCCTATGCACAACAGAATGAAATGCAGCCTGATTCTGGGCCAACCTCACAGTTGTTGCTACACCTGAGCCCATCGCTGCTACCTCTGTGCCAGTCCATCTCCCTGGTGGTCTTCCTCTTTTTCCCTGGGCTTCCACTTTACTAAACATGATATCCTTCTCCTGTGACTGGTGCCTCCAGATAATATGTCCGAAGTATGAGAGACGAAGTCTGGCCATCCTGGCTCCCAAGGAGTGCTCTCGCTGTACTTCTTCCAACACAGATTGGTTTGTTCTTTTGGCAGCCCATGGTACTTTCAATATACTCCAACACCATAACTCAGATGCATCAATTCTTCTATGGTCTTTTTATTCACTGTCCAACTTTCACATGCAGATGAGGTTATTGAAAATACCATGTCTTGGGTCAGGCACACCTTAGTCCACAAACTGACATCTTTGTTCTACACCACATAAAGAGGTCTCCTGCAGCAGATTTGCCCAGTGCAATACGTTGTTTGATTTCTTGACTGCTGTTTCCATGAGTGTTAATGGTTGATCTGAGCAAAATGAAGTCTTTGACAATTTCAATCTTTTCTCCATTTATATGGATGTTGTTTATTGGTCGAGTGGTAAGGTGTTTTGTTTTGTTTTTTTTGCATTGAGATGCACCCATACCAACGACTTTGGTCTTTGATCTTTGATCTTCATCAGTAAGTATTTTAAGTGTGTTTCACTGTCAGCAAGCTAGGTTGTATCATCTGTATATCACAGGTTGTTAATGAGTCTTTCTGCAATCCTGATGCTGTGTTTTCCTTCATATAATCCAGCTTCTTGGATTATTTGCTCAGCATACACAATTAAGTGTTCTGGAATACTCATACTTCACAATGTTGTCCATGTCATGTCATGATCCACACACTAAGCCTATGCATAGTCAATAAAGCACAGGTAAACATCTTTCTGATATTCTCTGC